CAACATTGTACATTTGCTGTTATGTTAAACTTATATTAAAGTTTTCTTCATTACCCATTCAAGCCATCTCCAGCCAATATATGTATAATTATAGCTAGGATGTTTAAATTTATATATCACTGTAGGTGTTTTTAAGTACGAAATTCTGTTTTTATATGTACAAATAGTATATTTGGTTCCATTTTCACGTCTAAACTGCCCTTGAGACAACTTACAGATAGAGGCTAATGAAGGCTCAGTAGTTAACATTTCAACCTGTGGAGCTGAAGTTTGTGTCCCTTTACCAAAAAAAAATGATGCTGTGCACTTTTTGGCAGTGGGTATTTGATAAGATGATGGAAAAATTCCACTATTTAGTCTGGTAAGAGTAATCCAGGATTAAAGTTGACTATCTGCCTCCCCTCTAGTTTATCATTTCAAAATTAATTAAATCCTTAAACCCGAGCTGAAGCTGCCAGCATCCAGCCAAAATACTGGATTTACCAAACAGATAGTGAGAGTTTCCAATAACATTTATGTCTCTTTGGCTTAAAACTAATACAAACCATGTTATTATCCACCTGTTATAAATAGACTGGAACTTTTATAAGGTATGGTGATAATTATTAGGATATCATGAAAATAATTCTGGCAGAACATGCCAAAAAATATGGGTTTAAAGAGTTAAGTCTAGCATACATAGCCTTCATGTAGCTTTGTACAAAATCCAACAAATAAATTAGTGGATAGGCTATATAAAATATCTTACACAATTTATTTTTAAAACTTAATGTAGGTTTATTTGGGAAACCATTTTATTTGGAAATGTGTTGATATTATTTAATACATTATGAAAATATTTTTGCATGCTAACCATTTTATAAGCTCAATGAACTAACATTTTTTCTAGAGTTACTTTAAACATCTGTGTAATACAACTATTAAAATTAAAATATAAACCTGTAAGTGTTTACTTATAATATTCTTAACATTCAAAACTACCATTATTATTGTATATTTGTGTATCAAGGAAAGCCGTGATATTCTTTTTAATGTTCCACGTTAATCCTTGTATTTTTAGTTGATTATTAACTTATTGTAAAATCCAACTGACACATTGAAAAATCACTAAATATGAAAAAAAGTGTCACCAATATACCCTTGGCAGCATAGAGGTTTAAAATTCAGTGGGTAATTTTCAAATCATTGTTTTACTTTATGGCAAAGAAACAAATTCACCAAAGATGGTGCCAACCTTGATTCCATTGCATTTCTATCAATTTTATCATATACATATATTGGTATTTAGTAAAAAAAAAAAAAGAAATTCCTTGGTGACAAATTTTAATAATTTCTAAAATCATATTGGAAAGACTTATTAACATTTTATTGTAAAGTTACTTAAATGGAATATTAGTGTACAAAGATTTTACATTAAAACTTGCACAATAAACATTAAATAAACTGTAAATGTTTTATTTCACTCTGCATTCATTATAAATATAATATTCCCAAAACGTTAACAAAAAAATACCAGCTAATCAATGATTATATGTGTGTATATTAAAAACTAAATGTCTAACTTAGTAACCTTGTTTGTGTGTCATAGCAATTCCACACAAAACACACAGATGATTAACTGGTATCCATATGCTTAAGTATTCTTCTTGTTTTATTAATTTAAAAAAAAATATTGTGTAGAATCGTTTTCTAACACCCAAATCTTTTTAGTGTTATTTAAAATATTATTGGTGTTAGAATTATCTGTTTTATTCATAAATATTTTTACGTTATATTTCTCTAATTTCAATTAACTACTATATGATTTTTTATCCAAATTTATAATTCATTCACAACATAATGAGATAACTTAAATATTATATTATTAGGATGTTTAATAAAAGTATCATTACCTCAGACTTTTGTTAATATATGTATGCTTTTGCCTAACTTGAATTTTATTATTTTGCATGTTAATAAAGTCAATAATGTTATATAACCTGTGGAATTAAATTGTGTTTTTAAATGTGAAGAACCTCATCAAACTGTTTTTGTTTTTTGTAGTTTTACTTAATATACATTTCTGTATTATTTTGAAATTTAATGTCTGTTTATTAATATGGTGATGCTATCTAGATTGATGAAAATTTTTATTGCTAGTTTGAAATAAAGAAATTTAGGTATAATATTTTTATACAGTCACTTAAGAAGTCTTGATGTAATTGTTTTTTAGACTATTTTAAGTTGAATCTTTCAGTTTTTCTAAAATATGATAGAACAATATTACAATATCATTTTTGTTATAGTTATAGCAGTAGACTCACCGTCGTTATAGTTATAGCAGTAGACTCATCGTCGTTATAGTTATAGCAGTAGTCTCATCTTCAAGAAATCTAAGTATAGATGTAACACTCATAATGAAATAAAATATCACATTTAATTTACAAATAATTTTGATTTAAAGTCTAATTTTTATATAAACCTTAATAAACTCAATGTAAATCCCCAGTTATAGGTTCCATAATAAAATTGATTTAAGTAAAAATTAATTGTACGTATATATATATATATATATGTATATAGTGCTGGGTCACCAAGGATGCCAAATGATCCACCTCAATTAAAATACCTAAGTAATATAAAAAAGGGAACTTGTATGTAATATAATCCATACGTAAACTTCAAAACTTCATGAACTGCATATGCCAAATTAATACAATATAATCAAAATAACTGTTATCACACATGAATCATTAGTACATCTATATATCAAAATGGCAAAAATATAAACCTTCCTCTCTTAAATAAATAAGACAATGCAGTTAAAACCTCCACTTCCAAAATATAAAACTTATAAAATAATTTAATTAACCTATAATGTATAACTAAATTTCTATCCCAAATATCAGTGTGTTCATAGGTAATAGTTGTGTTCTCTGAAGTATGGTTTCCAAACACTGAGTAATTATAACTTACTTCTATATTATTAAAATTAAATGTACATAAAAGCCTTAAGACAACAGCAGAGTGCATCATCAGACAAATTCAAGGTGCGATATTTTTGATATTGTTATTCACTCAAACATAATTTATATGTCATTGGTAATAATCTTGTTGCTGCTAATCAGCAACACATATAATGTACTATGATGTATGACCATACCACATTTGCCAAGCATGTGATCATATGTGTATTTGATTTATTTTTCTGCCATAATCTGAAAACTTGTACATTCATTATAATAGCAAAAATTTTGTAATCAATATTAAATATCAATACATAATAAAATCAGTTTTTATCTTGTTCATTTCATGACATACTATGGATGATAAAGTTGTTCTTCATTTCTTCCAAGTTTACAGAATATAATTCTTTTAGAACACAACTAAACCATAGTTTCTAGTTCTGTATGTTAATCTGAAGTTTCAGTTCTCAGTGGCTGTTGAATGCATAATTCTAATCATTTTATACAACGTAAGTTATTGTCAAGTTATTTCATTGCTTGCTTTATTTTTTTCTTACATTTCTTGCTTTTGTGTTTGTTTGATAACATTCCATAATAGGAAATAATCATTTCACTATTACAGTGAGCTTAAGAAGTTTATTGTATGTCAAACTATAGTAAATGATGATGGGCAACAGTATGTTGCTTTACATGTGATGATAAACAGCATTTGATCTTGTTTAACTGTAAAAGTGGTTATGCACACAGTGAATGGTATACAGTGTACCTAAACATAATAATGGGGTATATTTTGTGGATCTTCCAATATTTTTTGAAACAAGGCACTATTCTCATGGCAGGATGTTGTATTAAATACTGTGAAAATAAATGAGGCATAGTATACTCATGAGTTCATTTA